AAATATGATGTCCCTGCTTTGCAGATTTTCACCTATCATGGGGTGTCTAGAATGTAACCCCCGCGATAAGTGAGGGACTACTGTATTCTTCAAACCGGTGTAGTTTAAAGATGGCAGCAATCATATTTGATCTTGGACACACTCCAACTAGATCAATAATCCAGTCTAATTAATACTCAACTCGAATTTTGATCACAATTTATTAGCACCCAGGTCCCTAAATGATCCATTACATCATCGTGCAAAAAATAAAAAAGGGGAAAACTTTGGTTCTTCACAACGGAAAGCAGCCGTGTTGAACCTGACCAGCGTGGATTTGTTGTTGCTGCTGCGTTCACACGCTGTGGACACAAAAGCAGCTGATAGGTGACCACCTTTGGGCAGCAGGCCTCTGGAACGTGCCCCCCCCCAGTGTTTCATCTGCGTCCCAGCTGAAGAACACAGATGAGCCTGCTTTTGAGAGCACAGCCAGTATGTTTTTGTTTCCATAGATATAAAAGTGTGGCAGCTTTCTGCCAACACAAGTCCTGTCCACTCTGTCTTCCAAACACAACACCCCCCACTACCCTCCACCCCCTCACCACCTCTCGTCTGGAAACTTCCTGGCTGATACTGAGGCGATACATTTTGGTTAGAGGTGAAGAACAAACACTCTCGCTCTCACAGAGGCATGCGTGCACCGTGCTGACCTGAACAGTTCCCTTCCAGCACTTCTGTCTGTGAAACAGCTTCCTCCGTTAGAACCCGGCTGCATATTTCAGAGCGCCACAGAACAATGTCGGAGGCAAACTGGTTCCTATTTCTGCCAGGAGGGACACACGGATTAAGATGTAATCTGCCATGAAGACAAGAGGAAATTAAAAAAAGGGCAAAATGTTCTGGGTGAGGCAGGATTAGGACCCTCTGGGCACAAATGCTCGAAGGGGCCCCCTTTATCTTCACCACATACAATGTCGAGACATTTTGCTTTGCTAGATTTTCTGCTCATTTTGTTTTGATGCAACATTATATTTTAGATCAGATGACATCATTACTGGTGTTTAATGCTTAACTGGATTAAAAGTAAAAATCCTAAATCAGTGCAAACACTTCATGAGCCAATAAAATGCACATTATCTGTAAAGATTTAAATTTAGAATTGGACTGTGTGACTTTAAGCATACACATTTTTTTCACTTACTACAAACGGTCCCTTTTGTGTCCTCGTGCACCTGCCTGGGTTGTTCTTGAGGTAGATCCTGGCTAAGTTCTGGCAAGATGTTTTGTTTTTCACTTGTGGTCATAGGTTGACACACATTCATCAAGAAACAAACGTCACATTCATGTTGGGCTTCTCATTGTGTGAATGTTTATGAAGCATTCACACTTTTGTGATCCATTTTTCTTCCGTACATTTTTCTGTATCTTTCTTGTTCCACAATTTTTGTGCAAATTTCAACAAATATCAAATATCAAATATCAAAAGGTTCAGCTCGTTGAGGAGAAGGGTGCTATGACTTTTGTGCAACTTTAGCTTTTTGACATTTCTGCCACTTTTTTTCGCAAAGAAAATGAATTGAGTACATCCTTCAAGTTTTTACATATGTTTACAACCTTTTACTGCTTCTTTCACATTTTGTTCTGGTTCAGTTTCTTTCAGCTTCCTTGTGCAAATTTAAACATTTTTCAGCTACTTTCAGCTGTTTTTTTCAGCTGTTTTGTGCTTCTTTCAGGATCTTTCTGCTAACTACAACATTTTTCTGCTTCTTTTATCTTCTTTCTGCTCCTTTCAGATTATTTGCGCAATTTTCAGCTTTTTATGCTATTTCAGCTACTCTTTAGCTATTTTATGCTAATTTTAGGTTTTTCAGCTAATTCTACATTGTTTGGGCTCATTTCAACATTTTTCAGCCTAATCCAGTAAAAGTGTGCCCTATCCACATACTTCTTGTAATTTAAGTTTAAGGACTTTCTGTTTTTTTAGCTACTTTTCAGCTGTTCTTTGATAAATTCAGCTTTATTCAGATAATTTCCACTTTTTGTGCTAATTTCTGCTTCTTTCAGCCTAACTGAGCAAACATGTTCTTTCTGCTTTCTTCTGTCAATTTAAGCTTTTGATTATAATTTTACAATAATAATAAGAATTTTATTATAATTTAAGTACCTTTTCATCTAGCTTTTTAGCATTTCTTAGCTATCTGTTTTCTGATAAACTTAAGTTTTTTGTGGCAATTTCTGCTACTTTCAGCCTAATTAACTTCTTTCTGCTGATTTCAGCTTATTATGCTCCTTTCATATTTTTTCTGCTATTTTCAGCTTTTTCTGCTGTTTCAGCATATTTAGCAATTTTTATGCTAATTTGAGCTTTTTTTAATCCAGATAATTTCCACTACTTTGTATTCATTTCTGCTTCTTTAAACCTATTTGGGCAAACATGTATTCTTTCTGCGTTCTTCTGCTTATTTAGGCTTGTTCTTCCACTTCAGCTACATTTCAGTGTATTATTTTAAAGCTATTTTCATGGTTCTCTTCAAGTTCTTCTGCTATAAGCATTCACACTGCATTTTTGCAGGAAATCCAATTTCTCTAGTTATTGATTAGAACCATTGATCTTCCAGGCTGGAATGACAAAACAACTTACAACTTCAGTAATTTAGAAAACTAAAATTGGGTGCACAAGTCTGAACAAATTAGGATTTTTCTCTAATCCACACAAACTGTGCATATCAAGTCAAGTCAAAGTTTCTTAATTTGTCGAATGAAATTGTGTACACAGGGTCCCAGTTATATCCAACAAAAGTATAAATTGTAAAGAAAACCAGTATGATCTAAGATATGAACTAAGAAATACGCTAAAACTAAGAATACACTAAGCACTAATAGTACAAAAACAATACAATAACAATGCAATATTTATTGCACCATAGTCAATAGCCAGTAGGAAAGCAGCTACAAGGCGTTTTCTGGTATTCAGAGTTAAGCAAGATCAATTTCTGAAAAAGAAACCCAGTTTTAATTTCAGTTTCTTTATCAAGTTTTTGACATGCGACTTAAAAGAGAGTTGTGCATCAACTAAGATTCCCAAATATTTGTAAGAATCCACAAACTCAATAGGAACACCATGCATGGATGAGATAGGAGGAAGAAATGTTAACACCAACTTTCTGTTTGAAAACAACATCTCTTTGGTTTATCAGCATTTAGCACCAGTTTGAAATGGAATAAGTCAGACTGAAAATGCAGACTGTAGAAGCTGGAAAACCTTGACAACTGTGTTAGCTCAGAAAGAGACTACATTGTTGTCGGCATAGAGATGCAAGGATGTGTCAGAAATGTTTTGACCTACATTATTTATATAAATTGTAAAAATTGTGGGTTCTAAAACTGAGCCTTGTGGAACACCTTTGGTGACGTTAGGTAGCTAGATGAAGTACCGTTATGTCGAGCAAATTGTCTCCGACCTGAGAGATAGTTTAAGAACCAGCCAACAGTGTGATCTGAGAAGCCAATATCTGAGAGCTTGTGGCATGAGATGTCATCATCTACAGTATCTAAGGCTTTGGACAGGTCTAAGTAAAGTGCAGCACAGTAATCCTTATAGCATCCAAAGCTTCCATCCAAATCAAAATGAAATCATGTCCATGGTGAGTGTATGTAAATATCTGACCACAATAGTGACTTCGTGTTTGTGTGTGTTTGAACAGAAATATGAAGAAAAAAAGAAAAGAAATGCAATTTATTTCTTTAATAAATTTATAGTTCTTTAGATTTTAAACAAAGCAGAAAAATACATCCCCCCCCGCCAATAATATAAAATTAGTCAAACAAAATACATCCATATGAATCTGAAATATTTACACAAGCTTACTTTCAAGACGTTGGCTCATCCGTGTGTTGCAAACACAAGTAAAACTTCCAATTTATACATTATTATACCTTATTTAAATAGGACTTCATAAATAACTATGCTCTTCATTTAATACCACAGTTGCAAACACAAAACGAAGTAAAAATGTAAACAGTCTTCTGGCTACAGAACAACAAAAACAACTTTAGTTGGAAACCATGCTGCATGTGGTTGTCAGATTCCCTGCAGCGTGTCACAGCCCAGCACCTCCAGACGGAGGGCGATGTCGTTGACCCAACCGCGGGGGTGGATGCGAATGAAGCGACCAAACAGGGGAGGGCTGAAAACAGTGAGAGCTTCCTTGTCTGGGTTATTGTTTCCTGGGAAGATCTGAGGAGAAATGACAAACCAGTAAGGAAATGCCACTCATTTGTATAAAGTCATAAAAACTGTAAGTCAGACTACATCCTCTGCTAATCCACTAAGAGAAACACATATATGATTGGTTATCATATCATATGAAAAGCCATCTGATGAACTTTTCTGCAAACCTTCACTGTTTGGGTGCTTTTCTCCAACGCACTGCTCCAAAAGTGTCCGTCTTGGCTGTAAGTGACTGAAAACTCCGTCACCATCATCTCGGTCCGCAGGGATCGAGCTCCTTGGGTGATGACGCCTGTGATCCGTTTGACTTTCCCCAAATCCACCTGCAGCCACTCGTGGGGGTTGTTGTTCTAAGGCCAAAAAGAGAAATCAGACAGTTACCAGAAAGAATGACTTCTTACAAATGAACAAAAAAAGATGAGGCTTAAATGGTTAGGAAGGTTTATAAGATGGAAAAACTTCATTATTGGTCAGTAATACTCATATTAATGTGTCTGGATGTTTAAGAACTAAATGACTAAATCAGCTTTTCGCTTTAGCAAACATTTGTTTGGAGAAGATGCTTTAAATCCAAGTTCACATACTGTATTTTTCGGACTATAAGGCGCATTAAGTGAAACAAAACAGTCAGATAAGTCTTAAGTTATTAATCTCATTCACTATAACTCTCATCATTGTTCAGTTGTAACATAAAATACAAAACAATACACTCAATGCAAAACTTTACACATTTTTCAGCGCCTTGTACCACATAAAATTGGTTCGAGGTCAGTAAGCACAACCAGAATTAATACATAAGGCGCACCGGAATATAAGGCTCACTGTCGATTTTTGAGAACATTAAAGGATTTTAAGTGTGCCTTATAGTCTGAAAAATACGGTATACAAATGAGGAACCATCATCAATTACCGACAGTATATTTCATTAGCTAGAAAAAGAAAATGTTATCAAACTGATGGAATCCAGTGCTAGTTTTTGAATGATGAAGAATAAATATTGGGAGTAATAGTTTCTATTTAGGTTAATTCTTTTAATTACATAAGCCTGTGGTATTTGTTCAGTCTGTGGCAATCGTTTTTAGGAAACTATTCCAGACAAAAGCTGACAGAAAGTGGCTGACCTCTGCCTGAAGTGCTGCCTGCAAACATTGATAGCAGCTCAACAATTAGCCACAAGGACAGATCACACCTCGAGAGTTCAGCTCTGGAAAGCGTTAAAAAGATAAGCTGAAGAGGAGGAAATGAGCCGAGCGTGCTATCAGAACAGAAAGGTTAAAAAGCTTATGGGGGTTATGTGCTTCTGTGGTGCTTATCCTGCTGTGATAAAGGTCAAGTGGTGCTAACGAGGACAAAAAAATGGAAAAAAACAAAACACCTTCTATTGGTCTGAATGACTATCGGCCAGTGGCCCTCACCCCGATAGTCGCTAAATGCTTTGAAAAACTGGTCATGACTCACATCAAAACAACCATCAACATCAACGAGGACCCTCATCAGTATGCATACCGTGAGAACCGATCAACAGAGGATGCAATCTCCTCTGTGGTCCACACTGCACTCAACCACCTGGAGCAGAAAAACTCTTACGTCCGTATGCTCTTTGTGGACTTCACATCTGCCTTCAACACCATGATCCCCCAAACCCTGATGGACAAACTATCCACACTAGGACTAAGCCCCTCCATCTGCAACTGGGTACTAGACTTTTTAACAAACAGACCACAGTTAGTGAGGATCCACAACCTCTCCTCCTCCACCATAACCCTCAGCACTGGCTCTCCTCAGGGATGTGTGTTGAGCCCCCTTCTGTTTACTCTGCTCACATATGATTGTGCAGCTACCCATCCAGGCTGTCACATTGTAAAGTTTGCAGATGATACAGCGGTGGTGGGATGCATCACAAACAATGATGAGTCCAGCTACAGGCAGGAGGTGGAACACCTGGAGAGCTGGTGCAGAGAGAATAACCTTCACATCAATGTGAAGAAGACAAAGGAGATGATTGTGGACTTCAGAAGGAACAAAAACACCTACACCCCCCTGAACATAAGAGGATCTGCGGTGGAAGTGGTCTCCAGCTACAAGTACTTGGGTGTACACATGAATGACAACCTCAGCTGGAGCAACAACACCACCAGCCTGATCAAGAAAGCTCATCAGAGACTCTACTTCCTCAGGCGGCTGAGGCGAGCTGGTCTGGGAAGCTCAGTCCTCACCTCCTTCTACAGGTGTGCAGTGGAGAGCATCCTGTGCTCGAGCATCAATGTGTGGCATGGAGGCTGCACAGCTGCAGAAAGAAAAGCTTTGCAGAGAGTGGTGAAGGCTGCACAGAAATCTGTTGGAATCAGTCTCCCCACCATCACAGACATCTACACCTCCAGATGCAGGAAGAGGGCCACCTGCATCATTAAGGACCCCACCCACCCAGCACACACACTTTTTGCCCCACTCCCCTCAGGAAGGAGGTTAAGGAGCATTAAGTGTAGAACCACTAGACTGAGGAACAGCTTCTACCCTGAGGCTGTTAGACTCATGAATCTCTAACTAGAATAATCACTGTGAAAAACCATATCATGCTGCTGCTGATCTGTTTCATGTTGCTGCTGATCTGTTTCAATGTTGCTGCTGATCTGTTTCAATGTTGATGTGTTCATGCGTGCACATCTGCTCACAGACTCATGTTCATGTTTGTGCTGATGTTCAATGTTTTATGTTATGAGTGCTTAGTGTATATTTAGTTGATGTTTTTCTTAGTTCATATCTTAGATGTTATTACTGTTTTTCTTATACATTTTATTGTTGGATGTAACTGGGACCCTGCGTACATAATTTCGCTCCACCACATGTACCACATGAGGTGCGAATGACAATAAAGAAACTCTGACTCTCTGACTCTGACTCTGAATATTTGAAACATTTCATAGCCAGATCTTAACATTTAACTTTACTACTAACAGATCACTTTCTTAAATTTGATCCTTCACTGCTGTTCTTTGAGAAGTGTTATGGATACAAGGCGTGATGAGAGAAGACCAGTGCTTCATTTTGAACAATTTTCTTCAATAATTACTCAACATATTATACAACAGGCAGCACGGTGGCGCAACTGGTAGAGCTGCTGCCTCTCAGCGAGCAGGTCCTTGGTTCAAACCCCGGTCCAGGGGCCTTTCTGGGTGGAGTTTGCATGTTCTCTCCGTGCATGCGTGGGTTTTCTCTGGGTGCTCCGGTTTCCTCCCACAGACCAAAAACATGCATGTTAGGCTGATTGGTAACTCTAAATTGTCCCTAGGTGTGAATGAGAGAGTGAATGGTTGTTTGTGTCGTTTGTCTCTGTGTGGCCCTGTGATGGACTTGCGACCCATCCAGGGTGTACCCCGCCCCTCGCACAGTGATTGCTGGACATGGGCACCAGCGACCCTCGTGACCCAAAATGGAATAAACGGGTAAAAGATAATGGATGGATATTATACAACCTGATTCTCGATCTGTGGTTCTGCTACTGGGAGACCCTTAACAAAATAATTCACTTTATTAACGTGCACTGTCAAACTACACCTAAATACTAATTTTCTTTAGATTATGTTGCGATTTCTGCTCCAAATACTGCTAATTATTAGAGAGCAGATTGTCTCTCCTGAAGTGAAAATATATCTTTCTGCCATAAATATCTTCTTTTTGTTTGTTAGACATCCCTGAATTGTACAGTAGTCCCTCGCTACTTCACAGTTCGACTTTTGCAGACTTTCTCGGATTTTCAAAGTAAGATTGTACACGACAAATCAAATAAAAAATTGTATATGACACACAATTTTAAACTTTAATACTGTGTTACTCACTTGATTGGGACAGTACGGGATATAGTAAAAAGTTAACGAAAAAAAAAACGTCAGACAGGCATCGCCATTTTGTAGTTTTCTTTCAATAAGCTTATACTGTAACCCCTGTCAAAAAAGAACTACATTACCCAGAAGACAAAGTTGCATTTTGCTGAAATGGAGGGAAAGTTTTGATCTGATCCAAAAAAGTTCAATCCTTATTCATAGTGACTTCAGGGCTCAGTGGATGGAGAGAGCTGTACGGAACCGACTGGGAATTGGACCAGAACCGGACTTTCAGTCCAGGCTCATTGGTCAATCTTAGTGCTGCTTGCAGGCCCATGAGGCCTCTCGAGCGGGGAGGTGTCGCTTGGAGGTCCGGTGTTTTCTCTGGAGCTCACCGGTACTTTTTTCATCCGGATTTGGACTCAATTGGGACCATTGTGTGGTTCTGTACTGACTATCCGATGGTCTGGCTCTAAAAGCATCTCAGTAAACAAGAGCTGCAGAGAACTGATCAGAACCAAAGGAGAGAAGAACCGGACCAGAACAGAGCTGCTGTGTTCTGCAGAGCTGGTGAGTAAAAAGATATTACTACTCACTCAACTTAAAATTTTAAGTAGAGCGACTAAACATTATCAAGATATCATGGTGAATAAACGCTTGCTAAATAAACTTTTGCTTTAGTTTAGTTGATTTAATTTTTTTAGTTGACTGAACTGTTTTGGTTTGTTGTTTCAACTCAGAAATCTATCTTTTTCTACTTTGCGGTTTTTCACTTATTGCCGAGAGGTCTGGAACGTAACCCCCCGCAATAAACGAGGGACTACTGTATATTGAATGTGAACATACTTTTGGCCTCCAGGCGTTGGCGCCTCCACTCAGGTGGAGCCGGGCGAGGCTGGGGCTCCAGGAGCGCAGCAGAGACGAATGGAACGATGAGGCGCTAAAGCTGCTGTCAGGAATCAACCTCCTCTGGAGCCCGAGGGGCGCGGAGCAGCCTGGTCACACAAACACAAGAGCTGAGTCATTCTCAGAGCCTTCACATGATCTGGTTGAAGCTGTCCCAGCTGGTGCATCTTACTGTTGAGATCACATCCCAGCAGCTCCATTCGGACAGCGGGCTTTTGCGAATAGTGGTGTGGATGGATCCGGACGTAGCGAGCCACAAACGGTGGAGAGAACTTGTTTTCTCTTACCCTGGAGCTGTCCATGTTGCTATGAAAGCTCTACAAGAAACACACAACCTAATGAGTTGGGCAATCTGACATTCTTTAGTACAACAAAGCATGCACTTAAGCTACATTACGTTGTTATTTAAAGAAAATGGCTGCCTAAAATTGTGTTATAGAGTCAGTCTCTGCTATGATGCAGAACTAATGTATGAACTTTGGCCTTATTGAAATGATGCTCAGGCTTGTGAACAAACCATGGTGTTCGTGGAGCTGTTTCCTCTGTAGGTGGTCCAGGTCTCTAGATCCAGGCTGTAGGAGACGGTAAACAATATGATGAAGTGATCCTTTAGCATTGATCTGACTCCCTGCGTCTGCACAGCGTGCAGCAGGGTGGGCGTCTGCAGATCAACCTGAACACACACATTCACTGTGTTACAATTTACACTAAGGCAACAAGAAGGGCAATAATATCATGTGCCAGAACTTGTTTTAGGAACATTAGGAAAAAAAAACATTCAAGATTAAGCATGAAAGATCTGAAAGTTATATGTCTGACCTGTAACCATGACTTGCTGTTTTTTCCCATCCAGGCGTTGATCATACCGGTCTGGTCCAGCCTGGCCAGCCTCGGCTCCCAGTAACCTGCACATGGAAACATATACGTGATCCTTATCCAGCTTGCTGTGAGTCATTTCCCAGTTTTAGACTTCGGAAAGGTAAAAACATTTAATCTTAGGTGGACTGCTTTATTCCTCTTGATGTTCAGTGTTTGTCTTGTTGCAAACAAACCCCAAAAATATCTTACCTATGTGATCTGATGCTGTGATTTGGGAGTCTTCAATTCTTCCGGATGTCATTCCCAGAGGAAAGGCACATTCTGCATTTAAGAAAAACATAACATTTTAGTAAAACAGGACAAAATTACAGGTATAAATTCCTTAAAGACATTTTCTGACCAGCTTTAGAAGATAAGAAGAAACAACATAATTTTCCATAATGTCCATTTCAGTGTTTTTACATTTCTATAACCACTGAAACCTCAAATATTTTTGTCAGTTTGTGACGTTTTAACAATACTTCTGTACTGAGTTCACAGTGTGAACGTTGTGGAAAAGCCTTTGACGTAATCAGATATTGAGATAAAGTAGAATATCCCTGACAAAAAGCACGCTGAAGTTTCAAAGACCTCTGTCTAACAGGTATCGTTGAGTTTAAGTTTGTGTTTTATATGGTCAATTAGCCATTTGGAACACATCTGACTCCAAAAGTGAATCATTTTTAGACGTAAATCTGATGATTACTTTCATTAAAATCCATTCTTGGCTTGAAAAATTATTTAGCTAACAGGCAAACAAATGAACACATGCACACACTCATATAAAAGCAATTACATTATTATCTGCTGTAAAGGAGGGTTATTCTACCAAACGATCATCCAAGAAACACAAAATAACACAAAAAAGATTGAAATAAGAACAAATAATATTAAAAACAAATGCGAAGTAAAATAACCTTTAAAACACAGAGCTAAATAACTATCGGACTGAAAAAGATGCTCAAACCAAGACACAATATTAAGAAATCCAACTAGGAAACAAAACAGTAGAAACTATAGAGAGAATAAAAATAAAGGCCCTAAAATCAAGACCAACTAAAACAATGTTTAGAAAATCCTCCACTTTCTTCTGGCTCTGCAGAGCTGTTGTGGTGTGGTTCCCTCTAGACATGAAATGTCACATGGATGCACCTACGTGGATTATACACCAACAGTTTGGCCCTCATTCCAGCCAGCTGGTAGTCTCCTATGGTGCACTCCACCAGCCATGTCCCGACTGTGGGGGGTCGCATCTCTACCGTCCCAAAAACACCTGGAAGGATATGTACAAAGCATCCCATGAGACAATTCAATTCAATAGTTGTAACATTTGTAACAATTCATTTTAAGAAATGAGGTCAATTTGTTCTCTAGTAGTCTGAGTTTAAGGCAGCATAACAAGCTAACCCTAACTATAGCATTTATCCCAAAGGAAAGTCTTAAGCTCAGTCTTAAAACTGGACAATGTGTCAGCCTCACAGACAGAAACTGGAAGTTGGTTCCACAAGAGATAAGCCTAACAACTGAAAGATCTTCCTCACATTCTGCTTTTGGAAACTCTAGGAACCGCAAGTAAGCCTTCAGTCTGAGAGCGAAGTGCTCTGTTAGGAAAATATGGGACAATAAGATCTGTAATATAATGGATGCTTTTGCTGGCTCCCTTTGTTGCCTTCCTGGTGCAGCATCCTAGGAGATGTGAAGGTGTCAAAGGGATGCGCTCGCCTGGTGGCTGTGCTGGGACCCCCACCCCTACCCACTCCAAATGCATTTGTATTATGTCTATCCATGTTGCTCTTTTTGCTGAGGTAGAGTTTTTTCCACTTCTTCACAAAGTGGCCTGTGTCCAAGGACACGGTGTGAGAGAGCTTTTTTTAATATATTTCCTTCATCATGTTTTTCTTTTCTTATCTCTGTATGAAAGGTCACTCTGCTCCTGCGGCTGCAGTCCTAGACATCTTGTCCCCCCCATGTCTGACTTGTAAATGAGTCTTCGAGGCTCAATGTGACTTATCTGTTTAAATAAAGGTTGAATTAATGTATGTTGTCTTGGCAGGATGTACTGAAATGAAATGTCTCCTTGGGGATCAATAAAGTATATTGAATAAAATGGAGCTTGGGTGTTGAGGGCTTTGTAGGTTAGAAGTACGATTTTGAATTCAATTCTGAATTTGACAGGGAGCCACTGGAGAGAAGCTAAAACTGGAGAGATATGGACATAGACAGAGAATGTCCCATTTAAATAAAAAACAGCTAATTTTTATTGTACTTTATGAAAACACATTATAGGTCAACACACTGTTAAGAAAAACACTGTTTTACATGTTAAAGATAAACTGAATCTTTTTAATGAAATGTAAGAATGAGCCGCGGACGATACTGCCATGTTTTTAAGATTATTGCAACAAAATGTTCGAGTTCTGTATTCACCAGGAAAAAGGGTGAAGACTCCCAAACGGTGTTCTTCTTTAGCATGAAGAGTAAAAGGCAAACCGTGGAAGTGCACGGCATGGTACTCCCTGTCACCTCCCACATTCAGGAGGTGCCACCTCACCGGCTGATGCTGGGCCACCAGCAAACCAGGAAGAGTCTCTGCCACGTAACCATTTATTGCTGACGAGGAACACACGAGCATTATTTTAGATAAAAAAAAGACAAGATTCAGACAGTAGGAGTGAATTTTCCAGGTTTGATCATTCACCTGCAAACTTGTTGCTGGTTTGGTACCAGGAATCCTTGGGGCTGACCTGACAGGGTGGTGCACAGTACCGCTGCAGGTTCTCCTCCAGGTACCAGCTTTTAGTTTCATCGAAGGTGTGGAAGAGCAGAGAGAACTCCTGGATGTCCGGCTGTGTGTTCCCATGGGTCTTCAGGGTACCAGACTTACAGACCACCAGTGGACCGATCAGACCCGAGTGAAGGTCCTTCTCCTGTGTATAGAAAATACATTTTAAAAAGTCAACGTTTAATGCTGAATTAAGATGTTAGTGGAGTAAATCCACAGCAGATATGTGCTAGTTAGACTGCAGCAGACCTTATCGACAGTGGAGTAATAAGCTCCAGTCTTGCAGTCAAACTCTGGATCAGTGGGTCCCTGTTTCTTGCTTATTTTCCAGTTATAAGTCCGAGCTTCTCCTGGTGGAACAGGCTCTCCGGGAAGCCCAGGTGGAGCAGAGGATGAGGTGGCTTGTTTAGCGCCTGCCCCCTGACTTCGGTCGTACACGCCATGAAGATGAAAGGAGTAAGGCCTGTTTGCATTGTTCTTAAAAACCACCTGAGTTAGGACAAGATACGTCAGGAGACAAATCAACACGAACAACAACAAGGGTGCTAACAGGAAGGGTGCAGAAACACTCACGGTGAGGAGATCATTAACTTGCGTTCTGATGAAAGGTCCCAAGATTCCCAGGTGTTCTTGAAGCTCTCCTCTGCTCACAGGCTGCAGGAAGTCTTTGTCTCTGTAAGCTCGAAACACCACCTTCTTATATTCAGGCAGGAACTTCCTCATTCCTCGACGCATCTCACTGAAGAAAGGAACACAGCAGGGTTTAAATCTACTGGTTGCATAGTCAGATGTTGTCATGTAACAAATTATAGTATGATTTGTGAGCAACTTGAATTTTATGACCGCCATTTCCATTAATGACCTGATAGCACTGTCGTCTGTCGGAATCACGAGAAGTCTTAAACTTCTTTGTGCATATAATTTAATGTTAAATAACTGCTAAATAATTTAATAATAAACTTTATACGTCCTGCAAACACATGAATTAATGAACCAGAATGGCGTAAATTAAAAACCCCAGAAGCAGTGATTAATTTGAGACGGATCTTGCCATAAGAGGATCCGGGAACTCTCTTTATTTTGACAGGGTGCATTCCGGTAACTGTTTGCTTGGCTCCGGTAACTCTCAGGCGTAAGCTTAATAATAAAGTTATGAACAAATCTGACTGCCTTGAATGAATAAAACTTGTATTGGATACGTAAACTGAAAATAAACATAAACACTAATTTTAAACACAACAGCCACATACAATCTGCCTCTTCATTTCCGCATCTACCCTTAAAAAATCTCCGCCCCTAAGAGTGGTGGGGGTGAGTGCTGTTTGGAGCGACATTCTTCTATAGTATGTACCGAGCTAATCAGGCAGTCGTACGCGGGCAGGAGCCCACAGCTGCCATGAAAAGGCACCTGGAGGTTTCACATGTGGAGTCAGACAACGAGTAGGTACAGTGTTGAGCTTGGAACCACCAAGTAAAGGGGAGGGTGTAGGATGCTTGACAGAAGTGGAGTGTTTACAAATGTAGGTAAATATAGATGTTTAACAACCTGTTAAAATACACCAAAATGCAGGAAATCGCATCTAGTTTATTCAAAATTTTCTGTGGAAGGACCCCCAGATCCCCCCACTCCCGGATGGCCCGCCTGCTATTTGCATTCCACCATTGATCGGTTTAAAAATTAAGCCCTGCCCAAAAGGTTTGAAGTCAAGGCTCATAAGACGAAATAAAACAAATAATTGTAACAACCTAAATGGGACCAACAAAAAATGCCATACACAGATATAGAATGCCGCAGAGGATGCAAATGGACAATAAAGAGATGTAAAATAACCACTAAAAGATGCTAAACATGAAACAAAATAATCAAAATGGGACTTTTTTTTTCAATGTAACCAAAAAACAAAAGAACTGAATAGCTACAGTAAGACATAAATGACACTAAACAAGCAGGGCATCAGAAACTGGGCCACAAGACGCCTTAAAATTAAATTTGCATTCGACAGAGACCTAAAAACTACAGCTTCAGTTTGAATCAGTGGGATTAGTTCTTGCTTTGTACTTCTGGTGGCACAGGCCTGTGGTACTGTTGGTTCTTGGTTTGTTGTAGAATTATTTTTATTTATTTATGGTAGTCTGTGTAGTTTTTAGTGTTTTCTTTCTATCTTTGCTCTAAATTTCTGTTGCCTCATATGAGCAAGAGTTGTATGTGCTCAGCCCAATAGGACAGTGTATTTAAGTTCCTGTATGGAAAACTGGTGCCGTTCTTACTCCTGGTGGATGAGCTGATGTGGTTTCTTGATGCCGTAGTCCCAGGCGATCTCCTCCGCAGCGATGTAGTAAAGGCGGGGTCTGAGTTCTCCTGAACGCAGGTCCATGTAATCTGAACCAAACACTTCTGATGAACTGTTCACCTGCAAATACAGCAATAATTCTGGTGACGCGAGCACTTTGAATTACAGTATTGAACACTACACTTAATAAATACATAGAAGTAGCAGTACCTCCTCCTTGTAGTCATCGTACTCCAATGCCAGATCAATCTGATTTAAGTTAGCATCAGTGAAGTTGTAATCCAGATCCAGCAGGTCATCTGGAAGCCTCACGGGTTCAGCAAAAATGTGGTTTTGTGGCACAAAGTTTTCATCCATGAATTCTGAAGAGATTACATCTTCAGCTGAGACCTTCGATTCCTCACTGTTCAGTAAGATATCATTGCTCTCGTTAGGTACAGTCCTTTTCTTTACATTTGGTATTCCACTCCTTCCTTCAAGCTTGGATTTTGAAGCAGTCTCAGTCATGTTTTCTACATGTTCTGCAGCATTTTTAAACACAATTTCTTCATTTAAGATCCCAGAATTTGCACCTCCTGTCTGTCTTCTCCGTCTGCTTCCCCCAAGTTCAGCCAGATTTTCAGCAGCTGTCCATTTCCCATCTTTTTCTATTTTTTCCAGGACATCCTTTGGGATTCCTGCATCTAGAGGAGGTGTTATCTTTTTTAGTGATGTCACCGGCACTCTCCTCAGCTCACATGCAGAGCTAACACCTTCAGTTTGATCCATCGTGACATTCTGACCACGAGTCTCGTTAGCAACGGGTTTCTTGCACACGCGGACCAACACTGTGCCATTCTGAGGTCTTACGCCTCTTGGCTGGAGAAAGATTTGGTCGTAGTAATCGGAGATATCTTCAGCCACGTCATCATCAACAAGCGAGAGCTCTCCGTTGTTGCAGGGAAGAACAGTGTAGCGGATGCTCATGCCCCGGCTCTTGAGGCTGCTGTCAAATGCACTTATCTCCCACTCACCTGTGAGACAAAAAAGAGAAACTTAAAACGACAAATTACCTTCCGTGTTTGGTGAGTTAATCTATTTCCATATTAAAGTTACCGTAATTTCCAGACTATTAAGCGCACCCGAATATAAGTCCTGCCCACAAAAAATATATATATATATTTTTTTTTTTTTGTACATATAGGCCACACTAGTCTAAAAGCCATGGATGTCTATGTTTTTTAAACTTTTAATTCAATACGTACCGGTAACATACACAAATACGTACAGTAAATTATTATTTTTTGAACAGTGCCGGTAATACGGCTGGTAAAAAACAAACAAACAAACAAACAAACAGTAGTCTAGGAGTCATTGACTACTATCTTTATCTTCCTCCTGCACACCACAGACATACTGTATATAAGCTGCACAATAAAACCAATGGACATTGGATCAATGAAACTTGGTTTCATTGATCCACTGTGATCTCTTCAGTAATTTCATTGGTCAGATTTTTAAAAACTGTTATTTATACAGGTAGTCTCACTGAGTCACGAGGACCCAACCCCCAAGAGAGTCGCGTATTAGGCAGCTCTGTGAGCACCCGAGTGTGACGATGCTAAACGTTTTGGCGTCAGGAAGCTCGTTAGCCCGTCAAATAAAAATAAAAAATCCATAAATTAGCTGCAGCATTGTTTAAGTCACATAGTTCAAAGAGTGTGAAAGAAGTAGCAGCTTATAGTCTGGAATTTATGGTACTTGTGCTTGTACTGGGAATCAGTTTGACATCTTTGTGCACAAATGGTCCAAAACTCAGCACTTATATGCATCAATACCCACTAGAAGTCTTGCTGCCAGTTTCTTTTTGAGGAAAATGCTGTAAATGTGAATATTGGACCTCACCGATCAGTTCCGTTTCCATGGGGACCGTTACGGCAGTCATGGGGAAGAGGGTGAGGACAGACTGGTAAAGGCCTTCGTACTGGAACAGGTTTCCAGTAAAATAAACGGAGAGGAAGTCACTCTGGGTACCCACGTTGGCCACATGCCAGAAGGGGACATCAGTCTGACACATGACGAACTCACGTCCCCTGAACATGATGCCATTTATACCTGGAGAGTTAAAAAGCAGGACTTGGGTTTTATTTCTGCTTAAAAATAGTAACACTTCCACTAACAAACATTAAAGAGACAGTTCAGATCTTTTAAAGGGGGATTTTGTAAATAGCATCCCACCTGTTTTAGATAGGTCTTCGAATGGCCTCAATTTAAAGGAACAGTGAGTATTTCAGATCAAAGTGGACTTCTGTCATTTTAAAACAACATGTTTTTTGCATTACACAGCTATTTAAAATTATATGATTATTTGCAAGCACATACAGTGGCAGCAGCAGCTAGCTGTAGCTCTTCTGATTCAGCCTGAACTGCACTAAAATATTTCAGCGTACTACTCTTATATTTTTAAGAACAATCCACTTTGACCTTGGACCCACTTGAGCTAGCTGTTAGCTCGTCACTTCAGTCAGAGTAATTAGTTTTCTCCAAATTGAGGCCTTATAAAAAGCTTTCTACAACAAATTAAAATTTAATTGTTTATAACCTTTCCACAGAATCCCACTTCAAAAGATGGGATGCACTGATTTAAAAAGTAAACACAGAAATGTTAAGTTTGTAATAAACTCACTGTAGATGACATTGGACTCGTAGAATTCAGAGTGCGTAGCGTTGAGAGGTCTTAGGCTTGATTTCTGCATGTTTTCCTTGAAGTACCAACTTTTGTTCTCATCGAACACAGCAAATATCAAGCTAAGCTTTTCATCAGGTCCCAGCTGTAGTCAACAAGAAATTAGAAAATAAATGTCAAATCAAATAAAACATATTGTGCATCTTTGAAGCGTGAACATTTCCCTCACCAGTTGTCCTCTGGTGTCAATGGCGTCGTGTTTGCAGATGAGCAGCGTCCCTACCAACCCAGAGGCCAAGTCCTGTTCTGGGGAGACGGTGCTTTGATACAACTGGGTCAGACACTGGGGGTCTCCCTCCAAGGGCCCGTCGTCTGTTGTTAGACTCCAAATGTAGCCAAATGTCTTGTGGGGGGGAACTTCCATGGAGCGCAAGTCATCTTCTGCTGCTGTTTAATGAGATTTAAGTAGATTTTGTTGCAGTCAATTAAGACAAATTAAAAAAACAAACTGTGAGCTTGAATCAGTTTGTGAGGATGAAAACAAGTTAAATATAATCACAGGCAGCTTTCCTATCCATGTTATATCTCCTTATCTGTGCAATCAAACAGTCACCAGTTGTGTCTATTTTTTAAGTAAATGAGAAAATGGGAGACAGATTTAAAATTTTGGGTATAAAATAAAAAAATTAAAAAAAGTCCAGATGACCTGACTAAACATTGTTGGATTGGGTATAATATATTGTTTTTATACAGAAACGGTCATGTTCAGTTTTTTTGAGAGGTGGGAAAAATGACATTTACAGTAAATGATACTAATACAATTTTTAAGAAATAAACTTGACAGAAAATACAGTTATTTAGACCCATCATGCTCTCTTCTTTCTGGATAATTAAAACTTGACTCAGGCACTTGTGGGCATAGCTAAACAAAAAAATTGCTTCACTAACCCATATTCCGCTTACTAAAAAGTTAGCTTTGATAAATGCTAAACAGGTAAATTATTTTAGCAGAAGCTAACCCTAAACCGCTAACTGTTAAGACGACTGTCACTCAATCTGAGTCACGCGTCTTTGTTTCAGTTGAAGCTGCGTTGACCAATCACATCATGTGTGCACGTAATAAACCAATAGTGTGCCTTCAGCTAGCTGCTGTTGTGCCAACCAATCACATCTTTTCATGTGTAAGGTAGTAAGCCAATAGCAAGCCTAATGGACTCTTCGAGACACGCCCACAACAGACAGGCACAAGCTAGTGAACTTTGTTAGCGGACTTGAAGTTGGCTGAACCTAATTTAGCTGGAGCTAATTCTGCTAATGGTTTCCAAAGTTAGCAAAAATGCTATCACTAAAAAAACAAGTTCTGCTATTAGCTGTTAACGGATTAGTGGAACTGTGCCAACCACTGGTCTAGATAATTTTTCTAGTTTGACAAAGTTACAAGTTGTTTGTCAAATATCATATTAAAAAGTTCATCACGTAAACACAACAGATTTGTTGCTACTGTTTGTTAATCCTTGAGCTTTGGTCCAGTTTCGGTTAGCAGTTTGCAGCGCTGTTTGAGCCACACGCATTGGGTCGGCTTGAAAACTTATGAGCTGGATTAATGACTGTGAAAATGAAGCAGCCATTTTCTAATTTTCTTACAGCGGTTACAGCCAAAAACAACCAAAACACTGTGCTGTAAACCTCGTGGGAAGCAGCCACAGTGCCAGTTTGTGTGATTGCAGCAAAGGACACTTCCTTCTGTTCACCATTGATTCACAGCTCAGATTAAAGTGAAGCAATTTCCAGCGAACAAACTGCAGCTTGAACAAATCTTTTGTAGTTCCTTAAAAAGTCCCAAAGGTTTAGACTACGGTAGTTTTATTTTATTGTTATTTAACCAGGCAAATATTGAGATCACAGATCTCTTTTGCAAAGGAGGCCTTGGCCTGAAGGCAGCCTAACATGCATGTTTTTGGACTGTTGAAACTTTAGGCTAAAATTTACCAATTTTTTGTCTGTTTATTAATATCAAAACGTCAGCTCACCATTGCTGGATCTCTGCAGGGGGTAGATCTTCGTCAGGCCATTGGGGTAGATATTAAAAGGGCGACTAGCTAAGTTTTTAAAAATGATCTGGGAAAAAAGTACAAAAAACAATTAACATCAATTCAAATGAAGGCTCAGTAAGATGTTTATGAATTCAATTCAATTCAGTTTATTTATATAGCACCAAGTCACAACAGAAGTCATCTCAAGGCACCGAACAGAAACATTCACATATATATATATATATATATATATATATATATATATATATATATATAAAAGCAAGTTAATAACATTATCTGAGGAGCAGACTGCTTTGAGTTTAACTCCATCACAGAACACTCATCTTGAGCAAGCACGAAGGTAACAGTGGAAAGGAAAAACTCCCCCATGACGAAGAAACCTATAGCAGAAACAGGCTCAGGGCAAGCAGCCATCTGCTTCGACAAGCTGGATTTGGTAGGAACAGATAAACAATGGCAGTTCAAGAATCACATGTTAAGATAGAAATAGTATCAAATGAAAACTATTCAATTGTAGCAATTCATTTAAGGAAATGTGGTCAGTTTGTCCTCAGTAGGCTAAGCCTATGTGAGCATAACAAGTCAACCCTAACTATAGGATTTATCAAAAAGAAAAGTCTTAATCCCAGTCTTAAAACTGGACAATGTATCAGCCTTATGGTCAGAAACTGGAAGTTGGTTCCACAAGAGAGGAGCCTGATAACTGAAAGATCCTCTTCCTTTCTGCTCTTGGAAACTCTAGGAACCGCAAGTAAGCCTGCAGTCTGAGAGCAAAGTGCTCTGTTAGGAAAATATGGGACAATAAGATCTGTAATATAAGAAGGAGCTAGGTTGTTGAGGGCTTTGTAGTATTACATAAAACCTTAAGGTCAGTCGCTCCTCAGATATTGGCGTTACTCACATGGATCTGATCGTTGACTTGGCCTTTCAGCGTTGGACCCAGCAGCATTGTCACATTGCTTTTCCTCTGAGTGAAGGAGGCATCTGTGTACTCCACGTACACAACCTTTTTATACCTGTAGTCCAGGTGATGGGGAGCTGCAGGCAAATATCTGGACTGCAGTTCACTGAAGTGGGAAAGAAAATCTCATCAGTTTAGAGCCTCGTCACCTGTTCTTTTTCATCCCTTTCTTTCTCCGTACCTGTCTGTGGGCTTGAGATGAGGAGTGTAGTCCCAGATCACCTCTTCTGCAGCAATAAAATGCCTCCTTATATTGGACTCCTGTCCACTGATGGCTCTGGGTTTAAAGTATATTGTGTTAAAACGATAATCAGAATCGTCTTCATCCTCCTCTTCATCGTGTTTGACGTTGCGAAGGCTTTGTTTCGGCACAGGGATGGGCTCAGGACATTTCTCCACCGTGAAAAAAGCATTCATCCCATCTGTTTGAACAATGAGAACATTTCTGGGTACTTCTCTACTAAATGAGATCAAATGAGTCTAATCAAGAGATGAACATAGTTGCACCAGTAAGGCTGTTTGAAATTCTTTACCATGACTATGAGCATGTATCTGACAGCTGATGAGGAAGTGGCCAATAGTGGTGGGTTTCATTTCTGCAGTGATGAAAGTCATTGGGGTCACTTGCACTGTGACTTTACGATGGGTCAAAACCTGAAAAAATACATAATACATTTCAGAAATGTGTACTCTTTATTGTGCATGTTTAAACACAGAGAAAAGTCTGATTCTTCTGACTTTTAGAAGGAAAATGTATTTTCTAAACTGCTGTACAACTACTTTAAAAACAATTTAGAGTATAGGATAAATATGGGTTAACAGTAAAGCTCTGATACATTTTTTCAGAGCACTTCACTTTATTAAAGAGGTCATCTTTAATAATGTGCTGGATCGGCCAGGTCGGTGTCCAGCTTTTGATTGCGTCAGCGGATGCGTGCGACTGGCTATCCAACATGGCTTGCCATACAATCACCAGCCACACACGGCCATTTGACCATGAGCTGACTGGTCTTGAAAGAGTTAAAATAAAGTTGAGTTAAGCTTCAGATGGCACTATATAGCCAGGAAGCGATTCATCGCCAAAATGGACATTCGTACAGCCGCTGCACTCAGAGGACACACGCGGACGATGACCCAAACAGGTGAGATCTCCAAGCAGACATGTCAGAGCAGGGTCTGAATAATGCAGAATGCAGGCAGAAGCAGGGATTTAATGTGCTTTGAAGGTCATGAAAGAACAAACACCCCCTCAGCTCCAATCTTCTGCCCCCTTAGCTGCGTGCATCTGCTGACTGTTAATAATTATAAGCAGTCAAAGCTTAATAAAAAAAATGTCTGGGGGATTTCCAGGTTTGGACCTGTAATTACTGTTAATTCATCGGGTCCAGGTGGGGTTCGGTAATGATGGCTGTGGGCTGGGGCTGGGTCGCATCAGATTTTTTGGGCCCGAATGCAACGCCAATCAAAAGAACTACACTACCCAGAAGCCAACAGTGCTTCCGGTCACTGCCTTCTGCTGAAATGGAGGGAAAGTTTTGCAACGTAAAGTCAGAAGTAACGATCTCTCTAATAAACTCACAGAACTGGCAGGAAAGTTGCAAATAATCCTGAAGCTTTCTGAAGCTCAATTATCCACGTGCACATCAACCTGGACAGGGCGGTGGGCTTTGTCTCTGCAAGGTAGGTCTGCCGAACCAGAACCAAGCCTGACCAGAACTGAGCTGCTGGTCTGCAGAGCTGGTGAGTAAAATTTTGCAGTACTGTACAGTACATATACATATGTTGTTTAACTTGCATAGGTTTAAGAGTTTAGAACATTGCAAGAGTGTGGAAAGAGTTTAAAAAGCCTTAAAATATAATAATAATAATGTGTTATGTGTTGTCATCATTGTATGTTCACATACACTGGTGAAATTGGCTCTCTGCAATTAACTCATCCAACCCCAGGTGAAGCAGTGGGCAGCTATTGAAAGTGCCCGGGGAGCAATTGGGGATATGGTGTCCCACTCAGAGACACCACGAGATGGGCAATGACTGGGGATCAAACCTGGGACTTTAGGTTCCTGAGTCGGCTGCCCTGCCTCTACCCCAAATACTGTATATATATATATATATATATATATACTAAAATAAATATAGCGTTCCTACTTCGTGGTTTTTCACCTATCGCGGTGGTGTCTGGAACATAACCCCCGTGATAATCGAGGGACTACTGTACTTTCTCCAACTCCTACAGTCAGTGTGTAAACATACATGTGCTATATACAGGTGTTTTGTAGTAAATGCTGTGGGACAAAGTGGTTAGGATGTGGGTGGAGATGGGCAACAAACTAATGTACACAGCCTAACCAAAAATAGACTATGCCTTTCACTGGTTTCGCTGGTCAATTGGTGGCAAACACTCAGAATTTGGTGAGACCAGAAAGAGTTCACTGTCAAACAGTTGCAGTCAAGTCCTGGCTTTAACTCTGTCTGATACTGAGAGCCTTTGTTCACCTGCAAAGTGTGACTCTGGAACCGAATGGAGTGGATTTCCGGAGCTGTGCCCATCCCGATTACATGCCAAAACACAGGATCTCGACTCTGACACATTGTCAAACCTGCACACACACACCAAGAGAAAATAAGGACAAACCCCTGTTCAGACCAGACACGCTCCAGTCCCTGTAGCACGGAGCCCAGTGTCACCAACACGTAACATTTCAACACGCCTTCCTGAAACAACCACTCTGAGGCAGAAAGCCTCTTCACCTGGTAAAGTCGAGTTGATATAGCCATTGATGGTGTGGTAGTTCTTTCTGCTGTTGCTCCTCTTGAACTTCTCTCTGCTTATCCTCTCTCCCATCTCTCCATACCAGCTTTTAGTCTCGTCAAACACAGCAAACAGAAGGACAAAGGCTGGGAGCCTCCGCTGGCCATCTTCAGTGAAAACACCTGCAGAAAGATTTAGACACAAAGCATTTACAGATTTTAATAATAATATTCAGCGTGAAGCTCATCTGTCTGTTTTTTTTTTTGTCAATTGGCTGTGGCAGCCATCTTGAATTAGGTCGACTCCTAAAGACCATTAGCTGTAGATGTCTATTCAATGAATACTTTCAGAGTTCCATTAAAAGTAGTCCAGTTGATTGATGAGAATATAGAAGTTAATTTAATAAAGGTCAAATGAATTATTCCTAAACAACATATGCAAATATATGATGTTCTTTTAGAGTTGTCGTCTGTGTGTGACATTTAAGGAATATTGTTTATTTTGCTGCGGCTCACTGACTTGGTTTACAGATGAGCAGGGCTCCAATGAGGCCCGAGTTCATGTCTCGGACCGTGTCCACCTGCGATGAGTACGAGTAGGTGAGGCAGTCGGGGTCGTCGATGGTTGGACCGTCTTTTGGGCTGATGTCCCAGACATACTCATAGTATCCTCCAGGAGAGACGGCATCATCCTCCTTTTCCTGCCCTGCTGTGGAGTCATCATATCCAGCTCCTGGAAGGAAAATAAGTGTAATAAAGCAGAAAAACTATCATTACTTGGTGATAAATAGAATGGAAAGCATCTTAACAGGACACAAATTACCATATTTTTCGGACTATACGGTGCACTTAAAATCCTTTAATTTTCTCAAAAATCAACAGATAGCCGTATAATCCGGTGTACCTTATGTATTAATACTGGTTGTGCTTACTGACCTCACACTGACTTTATGTGGTTATTGTGAATGAGTTGAATAAAGTTTGACTTATTTGACTGTTTTGTTTTGCTTAATGCGCCTTACAATCCAAAAAATACGGTACACTAATACTTGTGATGTTACAAGAAACATGATAAATACACACTGCCTTGTTCTGGCTCAACAATATGGCGCAACGACACAGGCTGCAACATTTTCAGCTTCAACATCACAGCGAGGACATTTTTAATCTGCCCCTCAAACCCTCGTTCCTAGAAGTGACCGGAGCAGCTTTTCAGATTATGAAAAGCTTTTTTTATTGGAAGCTGTAACAAGAAGACACGAGCTGCTTACAAGATGTGACGGTCTGAGAGCATTAGAACATACGCCAGCACTTTCTGTAAAAGAGATTAACTTGGAAAAACAACAAAAAAAAAACTACTTATGAGTGCAAAAGTCTGCTTTGTATACAGCTGAAGACAAGACCGACTGTTTGTCCCCGCAGCCTGCAGAATATCTGCACACATGAGATAATGATAACCGTTGCTTTTTGTCATTTCTAAAGAACGAGGAGGCGATCTATTTTTGGCATCGTTTCCTAATTCACGAGCAGTTTGCAACATTTTTTTTTTTAAATTACTCTAACAAGAACGACTTCCAATTTGCACCTATTTTGGTATCCTTTTGGAAACAGTTTGATTATATTCAGGTAAAATCCCCCTTTAAGAGTTTATTGCAAGCTTATAACAATAAATTCAGTCTTAAGTGAGACCATGTGGAGGTACGTCGTGGTAGCACTGAGCTTAAAGCGTCGTTGAGCCTTTGCCTATATTTTTCCACTGTGTCATGTGCAGCGCAACGTGAGCATCACTTCAACGCTCAACGATGCGAGTCAAACAAAAGTGAGTCAGGTCTGCTCCTTATTTGAGCAAAAAGAAAAGAATGCTGAGTGATCTGCTCAACTTGTTGTTCAGCACATCAAATAAAGCAGGGGTTCTCAAACTTTTTTGGATTCCCCTCACGGGAGAAAAAGTTTCAGGGACCACCTCATAACCCTTATTTTTATTAAATAATTCTCTTCAATTTGTCTCTTTAATGCAATGAAAATATTTGTGTAACACAAATACTTAAGACCTGTTCTTTAATAGTGTTAATACAATTTTTATACTTTTAAACATGGGGTATTTTTCATTCAAGACACACTTAATTAACACAATTTTTAATTTCAACTTCCAAAAATTACAGTTTTGAGAAAATTAACAGTATCAAAAAAACACTTCATTCACATAATGAACATAAATGTATCGCCACTTCGTCAAATTATTACAGAAAACTCGTTACATAAAGCTGAACAGAATCATAACAGCAGTGGTCAGACCAAGTAATAGGACTTCATTTGTAAACTGATCAATGCTGGAATGCAAATAGCGGGCGGGCTAGCAGGCCCCAGAACATTTTGAATAAAGTAGATGTTATTTCCCACATTTTTGTGTATTTTAACAGATTGTTAAACATCTATGTGCTTGTTTAAACCCCCAAGCATTGGCTTGCAAACCCCAGTTTGAGAACCAGTTAAATAAAGGATTAAAATATATATATTGAGAGGTGAGATGAGTTCTTTACCTTCAGATTGCTTCCAGTAGGTGATCCCCACAGGGCTGATGCTGTACGGCTGAGAAGCTAAGTTTTTAAAGTGGATTGTCACTTTTTCACCAGCCTGCGCGACAATCACCGGTCCTTGAATACCTGCCATCACAAGACATTTATCAGCGATTTATCAGCGATTCATGACAAATCTGACATGGTTGTTTTTGTAAAGAACTCTCCAGCGCTGTTGTTCACAAATAGAATCCTCTAGTAGTTATCGCCACCCGCTAAAGGCCGTGCATGCGTCTGTATCTTAGCAAGATATTGCACGAACCAGTAGACTGGTTTTAACGACATGTTTAGAAAGTATTCATCGAAGACACATCTACAACTGAATCACTTTTGGAGTCAATTCAATTAAAGATGGCCGCCACAGAAAGCTGAACCCAGGAGACGTATAAATGATTATAACTCAACCATATTTATAGTTATTGAGGTAAAATTTGAAGTGCTAGTGGCTGAGCATGTTCCCAAACACAAACTGATGTCTACACATAATTTTGCTTAAATCTTTGACATTTATTGTTGGCGTCAACTCATGTTTGTCTGTTAGCAAAATATCTCATTGCCCATTGAATGGATTTGAATGATAATCTCAGAAAGTAATTAATGAGTATACATCTACAACTGATTAACTTTTGAAGTCAAACCAATTCAAGATGTCTGCCACAGCCGACTGATTTTAGGAAAGACAAACATGGATAACTCAGCCAATTTTGTAGATACTGGGCTGGGAATCATGCCCAACGCATACTTTGAAGGTGACGTCTCATGATGCAGCATCAGGTTATTTTAATGACACAACGGCTACAACTCTGTCCTTTCTCAGCAGACTTGGGATGATCTTAGTCCAAACCTCTGGCAGGAACAGAGGCGAGTGATATGCACTCACTCAGGAGATGATAATTCAAACATCTGCTAAACATCTGCTTATACATTTGTCTTGGAATCTAGCTGTTTTTTTGTTTTGTTACCTTTTTCCTTTTAGCCATCCTATTTGTTAAAAAGAAAAAAAAATGTAGTATGAGTTTTTATAACTGCTTATTGTTGTTGCTGTTGTCCATTGTTGTCATCTTTCTTTGTTGAAATCAGGTCTCTCTTGTAAATGAGTCCTCGAGGCTCAATGGGATTTACCTGTATAAATAAAGGTTGATTGAAAGGTTGATTGACAAGAAACTTGTAGAGGAGACCTACCTGTCCAGGCTGCTCTGGGCTTTGGGACTGTGTATGTAGGGTCTGTGTACTCTCTATAAACCGCCTTGATGTATTTTTGAGGATTCACCTTGGCTCTCCCTCTGAAGAGAAAGAATAAATGCTCTTTTATATAGAATCTGACAAGAAAATCATTTAAAACTTGATTATTATTATTTTGTAAACCCACAATAATTTAAATGCCTACCTAAATGTAACAGAATAAAGGCTGTTATCTGAAATACAGAAAGAAGTGTTCACCTTTGGTCCGGTTCCGCCTCGTCCAGGTGGATGTAGTCCCATCCGATCTCCACCGCTGCTATGAAATACTCCCGGACAGCGCCGGGGGGCGGCGGCTCTGCGGCCGAGGGGGAGCAGCGGAGGAGCGGCAGCAGCAGCAGCAGGAGGGTCGCTGTCATGGCGGTTCTGAGCGTCTGTCAGCCCGGCTTCACGGTCCGAGCTCTGGTGCTCGTCTCGTTTAGGGCTGGGGTATTTAAAGGAAGAGGTGGCCAAGAGGGAAGGTCAAGTTGGCTGAAGTGGAAGGAAACTTGGCGCGTGGTGGAGGCAGACTACCATGACGTCACGGTAGACTAAATTTTTATTTTTTTTTTAACAGACAGACATCTTACTAAAGCAATGACGCATACATTGAAGTTAATATTCATATTAATAAGTTGAATACAAGTCGTGACTAAAAACAAATATTTGCCCGTTTGTAAAAATATAAAAAGGAGCTTTACACGCGTTTCATTCGTGTTTGTAAACAAAACAAAAAGTAAGGACATTTGTGTTTGGTTGAAATTTCTATGTGGTAGGCTATATGCCTTTTTTAATTTAAAAAAAAGAAATTGTTTTTGAAAGTCTTTTTTTTTTCTTTTGAAATTGTTTCATTCTGTTCTGTCCATACAAATATACAGAATGGACGGTTAAAGCAGTATTGTTGCTTACTATAAACTTTATTGTAGCAGTATAGAACTATACAAGTGCATCTCCCTAGGCCCCTCTCTGCCTGTGTCACACCCAAATATATCCCACTGGGAACATAACCTGTACTAACAATCCACTTGTTACAGAAATGGTGCTACATTCGTAAAGAAAATGTGTGTGTGAGCTTCAGTGTGTGTGTTGAACTCATGGGAAAACTTGCCAGATCTTCTCTGTCAACACCAAACAGCGAATTCTACTAAAAACTCGTGCTTGGTTTTGTTCATTGGATTGGAGATTGACGTTTTAAGAAATAATTTACTTTAAAAAAAATGTTCCAGGAGCATGTGGAAGAACCATACACAGCCACCACTTCTTCCTCTTGCAGCTCAGTCACTCACTGCTGAGGGATGGTATCTCATTAATTAGTCAGCCAATGAGTTGGTTAATCTGGAACAAACAGAACGTATCCCACGTGTTTGATGGAGTTGAGGTCAGGACTGCAAGCAGATCATTCCATCCTGTCCACTCCCAAATCCTGTGTCTCTGATAGACCCTGCTCTGTGGGGTTGAGCAATGTCATCTTGGAGGATAGTCTAGTCCCATACTGTAAAGGTATGACTGGGCTGCTTACTGTGCCTCAGGAACTAGAAGTTCAAAACAAGAGTCAGTAGCTGATACATATCCAAGGAGTTGGATTGTGGAATGGTCTAGAGAGTGATGTAAAAAATGCCAAGTCAATGTGTACATTTAAGAAAAAGATCAAAGCTGAATTGTTAAATATATATATATGAAGTAGCTTAGTGTGTGTTTTGTATTAGAATTAGAAAAATTAGAAAGTTATTCATTTTGTTCTGTTACTTGAAAATTATTGATTGAAATAATTGTTTGAAAAAGGGGCAGATATAATAAGATTTTTTCTTCTTTCTGCTCCCTTTCATTTTAAATCTTTTGTATCTTTTTTATATTGTTATGGAATTGTTTTGTACTTTTTTAAAATGAATAAACTTTATACCATACCATATAGAGATTTGTCAAGTTCTTCTAAGAGTGCAACCTTACTGTGCAAACATACTGAACTCTGCGCTCAACCCACAAATACAATTTTACAGATTTTCTTCATAAATGCGGCACTATTTAAGAAGAGAAAGAGTAATTAAATAGAATCTGTCCATGTTTAGGACACTTTTTCATTTGGTTTTTGACTGATATCTTGTGGCCAAAGAGAAGTACTGCAAAACTTCAAGACTACATTTTCAAAGCGGAATTAATCATTTATATACAAATTACAAGCCAGAGAAGAATAAATTATTTCCCAATTTTATTACAAACAAACGACGTCTAAACATAACAGAATACCCATCACAAGATGTTTGTTAATTATTTTTAATGCAAAACTTATAAAACCAATACACATACTAGAAATGTAAAAAAATGGTTTGTTATTAAAAAAAAACACTTGCACTGTAGAAGGGGTCTCAACCAATTTTCCTAATGAGCACCAAACTCCACAATATGTTTAAAATAATATTTCAACAGACTGCTTAAAAAGTAACGATGAAATGTTTGTACATAAAAACTTCCTGATTCAAATGAGTTCAAATCGAGCACTGTTTACTAATGATTAAACCACATTTTAATTATTCTTGTATTTTATTTTTTTGCAGGATCACTTCATGTTATTTTGTCTCTTTTAGACAAAATGCTTTTTTTTTTTTCAAAATAAAACTTGTCTTCAACAAGCATCTGAGGTCCATCTGATTTAAATTTGGGCACATTAATCAGAACAGCAAGCAGACACCACCCACAGTCTTTATACATGACGTAACAATAAAATAAAAGCCCACACTAACATTTTGCTGTGGCATAAATTACTACGCTTTTATGCAATGACACTTTTTATGTACATAATTCTTTTAATTTCCCATTTCAAGTTGGGCTGCTGCACCCAGAACAAACCAGATCATCTCATTTGGGTGAAGGTCTTGACCAGATTGGCCAGAGACAAATTATTGCCTTTTAAATCTGAAGTTAGACAAAATATGAAACACACTTATGACATCGTGGAGGAAGACCTGGTCATTCATTACATTCAGGTTATTTGCTGACTTTGGTTTTCTGTGTCGCTGAACCTCGGACAATCAGCAGCAGGACTTGACTCATAGCTTCAGTGAGTTGACCTCTATGATCTGCTGCAGGATGTTGTCGACATCTTCCGTCTCAACACTGATGCCAGCCAGGTCCAGTTGGGGCAGCAGGGCAGTCAAAAGTACCACCACATTGTTACGGATGCCGTGCAGATTCTGCTGCGCTAATCTGACGGGAGGAAAATCATCAATAAAGGGATAGTTCAGATTCTTTGACGCATGGTAACATGAAGTAAATGGAAGTGAGAGCAATTTTTGTTTGGAGGATCAGAGAGAAGCTCTCGTGAAGCAGTTAAGCTCAGAGAACGACCTATGTAACAAGCAGTTATTGTGTATAATTATGGTTCATAAATCAAGTGTTCAACTAATGCATATTTCTAGTAGCAACAAGTGTGACAGGAGCAGGATGATATTAGTGGTTTAGCTCATATGTTGATCCACGTGTAGACACATTTTTACTATTAAATTAATTGTAAATTAAATAATAATAAATTATAATAATTTATTAAATGGTAAACATTTACAACAATACCAATATGGATGCTAAAAAAGACTTGATTTATTCATTATTTATTTGTGTGTTTAGTATTAACACATATTGTACACTACATTTTCTAGCCTATGCTAATTTGTAATCCATCCATCCATCCATCCATTATCTTCCGTTTAGTCCGAAGTCGGGTCGCAGGGGCAGCAGCTTGATCAGGAGGCCCAGACATCTCTTTCCACAGCCTCCTCTTCCAGCTCTTCTGGGAGGATTCCAAGGCATTCCCAGGTCAACCAAGAGACATAAGCCCCTTATCCACGGGTCTTTTTGGTACTCCTATGTAACTAGTTGTGGCCGATTGCAGGATTTATCAACAATGCCTTTAACGGTGGAACCCACCCCATTTTTGGGACCTAAATCACTGAGGTCCCAGGTCTGGTTCTTTTAGGGTCTAGTTGTGACATCAGCGCACTGTAGGTCACTGATTGGTCAGGGGGCGTATCCATTGGTGGAGGGCGGAGATTCAGTCTTCCACCGGAAATCACAATCCACCATTTTCTTTTTCACCCGCATAACAGACAACAAGAAATCGGAGGAGCTTATTTTGGAATATTTTATAAGGTAAAACAAATAATCATGGCACAACCGTGGTCGAATGCTGAAGTTCAGGCATTTCTCTGTTTGCTGGCCGATGAACAAGTGCAGCGCGAGCTAGATGGAACGAAACGAAATAAAAAGATTTTTCAAGAGGTGTCTGCGCAGATGGCGGTGCACGGCTTCCATCGCACACCAAAGCAAAGAGGAAAGCTTAAAAAACTAATAGTTGATGGTGAGTGTATTTTATTTACTTTAAGCATATTTCCTTTTCCTCATGCAACCGTTTCTTTGCGTTTTCTGAAAGTACTCTGAACAAATGAGGCAGACGCGGTTACGTCGTCATTAGTTAGCATCATTGCTAACTGTACTCTGTTGCTGTTTTTCCACTCTTATTTTGATGCAGAAAGTCCCACTGAACATGAAGGTTCGCCAGATTCTGCTTTTGACTGTCCAATCCTCCCCGCTTCTGACCCTTCCCGACCACACCAGCTCCAAGTACATCTATGCCACCGGGCAACACGCAGCAGAGCGGCACCGAACAGCACCCGTTAGTAGGTAAGAAGAAGCAACAATCGTGTTTAACATCACATTGATCATGTTGATATGAATGTTGTTTTGTTTTTGTTGTAAAACACCTTGCATGTATTCAAACTACTTGTTTATTCAGTTGTAATGGATAAATGCTAAATTTAGTTATTCATTTATTACTTAAACTTTCATTTATGAAGTTTATTATTGAAATTATACAGGGTGTAGTGATTTTTGTTCAGATTAACGATGCTCTGTTCTTTTTCTAAATTAGCACAAACCGTTGTAAATGACTACATGTAGTTTATTTATGCCCACCTGCTTACTATCATTAAAGTACTAGACTGCTTTATGAACAGAATCATTTCTGATCTTGTAAACAAACACCTTTTGAAATTAGCAGGAACTTTAATGTAAATAATTTATTTAAAAACTCTACCTGTACTTCATCATCTAACAGCCATTTTCTTGTGTGTTATTCCTAGGCAATAGGAAGCGCAGATCAACAAGTGCAGCAGAGAGCTTTGTTTCTGCGCACACAGAACAAGAGGAGATGAACCGGAAGCAGAGAGAGGAACACTTCCATTTTATTTGTGAGGATGCCAAAAAGGCAAGGCAAGAAGAAGCTGCAGCAGCGAGGAAGCAGGAGAAGGCAATTAGGAGGGAGGAGATGGCCTTGAGGAGAGAGGAAGCAGATGTTCGCAGAGAGGAAGCAGCACAGCGAAGGCAGGAGGCTGAACAGAGTGCTGCTTTCAGTCAGGCACTCCTTGGGGTGCTGGAATCCATTGCCCGTTCCATGGCAAACAGACATGTTTAAAAATATTTAGAGTAGATCATAGTTGATCTATAGAAATGTAGATCCTGCAAGGTAAGCCCACAAATAGCCAAACGTAGCTTGTTAAGTTTGCATATATAATTAGTGTATAATTGGTTTTTTTTGTACAGGTCTTTATTTCTAATAAAAGAAACATTTTCAAGTCTTGAGCTTCCATCTGATCATCAAAAGTGAAGTGCTTACAGTGTTTTTTTACGTCAATAGTGTAGGATAAGTGAAGTAATTGTTTTTTACCTGTAACAATGCTGGTGAAGATTCTCAGTTATCCTTGACACGGCAAATCCCCCCCAAAACAGATAAAAACAAAACCACAGGACTTTTTTTAAAACTGAAGACGTTTCGCTAATCATCCGAGGAGCACACACAATTCAATGAAAAAAGGAATCTGGGATTAAAGTTATAAATCTGTGGTGTTCTGTAAGCTTGCTGGAGATTGATCTGCATGTGTCAGTCTCCATAATACAAGTTTACGGCACACCACAGCTTTATAACTTGAATCACAATCCTCGTTTCATTATCGGCCATGATGTCCATCCTGTGGATCCAGCTGCATCTTTTTCACCCAAGGTCAAAAATTCTCTCCACGACTTTCACTGTGGTACAAAGGAGCACTAACTTAATATTGCTTAACAGCACTTCAATCATGAAGATAATTTGCGACAGCTTAATTTAAAGAGCTGCGTCGTAAGCATAAACTCTGAAAGAGTTGTTAAATATCAAATCAAATGTAGGTTATTATGTAATGTACGTAATATATATATATATATATATATATATATATATATATATATATATATATAATACAAATCAAATTACAAAAAGACTATTAATCCCAGAGGGAAATTAAATGTAATTCATCATCCTGGTTTCATTAAAGAGTTGTTCTAGATGCTGATGGCTGTGGGCAGGAAGGATCTCTTGTAGCATCTGTCTTACAAGGGATCTGAAGAAGTCTCTGGCTGAAGACATATATATATATATATATATATATATATATATATATATTAAAATAGATTAATGTATATATGCATAAACAAATATAAAGTTCTTGTTGTAGGTTTTGGTTCTTTGTTAAAAACAAAAATTAAGGAGTATACAGTTTTTCTAAAACTACAGCCACTAAAAAACGCAGCATATGTGATAGAAGCACAGCAGCAGTGTTTGTTTTGCCATTTTTACACGAACCTGGTAATAAGGCATGTCTGTACATTAAAAAAACAAGAATAATTATTAATCCATGTTTATTTTCAAATCAACACTTTAACGTTCACTTGTATCTAAGGAAGGCTGGGGAGGTAAAAAAGATTAAGGGGTGGAATTAGGATAAGTTACAGCTCATGAGGGACTCCATCAGAGCATCTCTGACACCTCGGCCCTGCTCTCCATCTTGTGGGACAGAGACCAGGACGGGCTGTGCAGCTGGTTCTGCTTCAAGTTCATCGAGGTCATCCATTTTGGTTGTGTGTTGTTTTCCAGCTCTTCTTCTAATACATGTTAGTGGTGCTTAGAAAAGAGCTTAATGTAGCACTACCGCCACCAGCTGGTAAGGTGCGTTGATATTAATAATCCGCCCACTAGAGGTGAACAATCCGCCCACTAGAGGTGAACAATCCGCCCACTAAACGGGAACTATAGGCAAAGGTGAGACACAAAAATAGAGGTCCCACTAGAACCGGACACAACAGGCTACAACAAGAACCAGACCTGTGGATAAGGGGCTATAGTCTCTCCAGCATGTCCTGGGTCTTCTCCGGGGTCTCCTCCCAGTTGGACATGCCTGAAGCACCTCTCTTGGGAGGCGCCCAGGGAGCAGCCTCACCAGATGCCCGAACCACCTCAACTGGCTCCTCTCGACGTGGAGGAGTAGCGGTTCTACTTCGAGTCTCTCCCAAATAACTGAACTTCTCACCCTATTTCTCAGGGAGAGTCCAGCTACCCTGCAGAAAAAAACTAATTTCAACCACCTGTATCTGCGATCTGATTCTTTTGGTCACTACCCAGAGCTCATGACCATAGGTGAGGGTAGGAAAGTAGACCGACCGGTAAACAGAGAGCTTTGCCTTACAGCTCAGCTGTCTCTTCACCACAACGGACCGGTACAGAGTCCGCAATACTGCAGATGCTGTACCAATACATCTGTCAATCTCACGCTCCATTCTTCCCTCACTCGTAAACAAAACCCTGAGATACTTGAACTCCTCCACTTGATGCAGAACCTCACCCTCGACCTGAAGGGAGCAATCCACCCTTTTCCGGTTGAGGACCATGGCCTCAGATTTGGAGGTGCTGATTTTCATTCCAGCTGCTTCACACTCGGCTGTGAACCGCTCCAGTGAGAGCTGGAGATCACAGCACAATGACGCCAACAGGACCACATCATCTGCAAAGAGCAGAGATGGAATCCTGAGGCCACCGAACCGGAAACCCTCCGCCAGCTGGCTGCACCAAGAAACTCTGTCCATAAAAGTTATGAACTGAATCTGTGACAATGGGCAGCCCTGGCGGAGTCCAACTCCGACCCTGAAGTGGTCCGACTTACTGCCGGCAATGCAAACCAAACTCTCGCAACGCTTGTATAGGGACTGAACAGCCCATAACAACGGGGCTCCAATCCCATACTCATGCAGCACCCCCCACAGTGTACCCCGAGGAACACGGTTGAATGCCTTCTCCAAGTCCACAAAACACATGTAGACTAGATGGGCAAACTCCCAAAACCCCTCAAGGACCCTAGTGAGGGTAAAGAGCTGATCCAGTGTTTCATGGCTAGGACGGAACCTGCATTGTTCCTCCTGGATCTGAGGTTCGACCAACGATTGGACTCGCTTCTCCAGTACCCCTGAATAGACCTTACCAAGGAGGCTAAGGAGAGTGATGCCCCTATAATTGGAACACACCCTCCGTTTTGAGGAGGGGAACCACCACTCCAGTCTGCCAGTCCAGTAGCACTGCCCTCGATGTCCACGCGACGTTGCAAAGGCGTGTCAGCCAAGACTGCCCCACAACATCCAGAGCCTTAAGGAAATCAGGGCGAATCTCATCCACTCCCGGAGCCCTGCCGCCTCAGAGCTTTTTAACTACCTCGGTGACCTCAGCCACGGTTATGGCCGGATCAACCCTAAAGTTCCCCGACTCAGCTTCCTCCATTGAAGACGTGCTGGTGGGATTGTGAAGGTCCAAAAAGTATTCCTTCCACCTCCCAACGACATCACTGGTTGAGGTCAACAGCACCCCACCTTCACTGAATACAGTGTTAGTAAAGTGCTGCTTTCCCCTCCTCAGCCGCCTGATGGTTTGCCAGAATCTCCTCGTAGCCGATCGAGAGTCTCAATCCAAGGTCTCACCGAACTCCTTCTACATCTGAGCTTTTGCCTCGGCAACAGCCAAGGCTGCACACCGCTTGGCCCTCCGGTACTCCTCAGCTGCCTCCAGAGTCCCACTGGCCAACAAGGCCTGATAGGACTCCTTTTCTGCTTGACAGCCTCCCTAACGCAGGGTGTCCACCACCGAGTTTGTGGATGACCACCGCGAGAAACACCGACAACCTTGTGGCCACAGCTCAAGGCAGCTACCTCAACAAGCGAGGTGCGGAACATGGCCCACTCAGACTCAATGTCCCCCACCTCAGCTGGGATGCGGCTAAAGCTCTAACTTTAGCTTTAACTGCTAATTTGTAATGCAACATTTAAATAATTATTAATATTAGCCCAACTGCCTAAAGAGTTGAAATGTGAGGGGAAAAAACAAAACAAAAAAACAAACAAACAAACAAAATCACTGCCTTACTACTAAAGTAACGGCTCATTGGAGTTTAAAAAAAGTTACTTTTCTAACTTCCTGTAGCTATTAACATTTGCCATGCAGCACAACACTGAAAGCTGAAAGGCAAAGAGACAAACCAAGATGAGATTTGTTTGTTTTGCTATTATTTCACCTTACAACAAAAGTGCTATAGCAAGCACGGTTTTTAGCATGTTATTATTATTATTTTTTTATTGCTGTTTAGTTGTTGTAAAGTTGCTGTGTGTTTGTGCGTGTATGTGTGTGTCCGTTTGTAACACTCACCTGCTTTCATCACGAGTGTCACCGTCACTCTTTCTCATTTTGCTCTGACTTTCAGTTCTTTCTTTCTTTGATTTGTTTTCCTGCCCTGCATCTGGTTTTGTGGCTGAAGTGGAGCACTGCTGGACAGAATAATCATAAATCAGTAACAATTAAATCAAATTGGCATGACTTTAAACATATCAGCACCTAGATCGTTTCTTCAAAAACAAAACAAACAAAAGTAAGAAAAAAATGACAGGGTTTCTGTTTTGCAGCTAATCCTTGCAACCTTTAGATGGTCAAGCGTTATTGTAACACAAATGATCTCTTGAACATACTTCATATCGTAAGGGTTTGATGGGTTTTAGAAGTTAATTCAGTTTTCTACTTGATGCCACTTTTGCAACTTCCATAATGTGATGTACATTTAAAAAAATATCAAATTCAACCAATTAAAATACTGCGAAAAAATGTTTATTTATTTATTTTTTCATCAGTGACACCTTATTACTGGTACACTTAATAAACGTTTTACCATTTCCTGTCTAAACTGATAAATCTAAAATAATGCATATGTTCAAACTGTGACGAAATTACACATAAACAGAACATAATAAATCTTAATATATATA